TGTTGTTGTTGTTGTTGTTGTTGTTGTTGTTGTTGTTGTTGTTGTTGTTGTTGTTGTTGTTGTTGTTGTTGTTGTTATAAACATCAGGCACGCTCAATCAAGATTATAAAAACACTGACTGGTATTATATAACAGATACACATTTTAAACAAAAACCTAAGTATCTGTTAAATAATGGCACAGAATGTATGTATTGTGTGAAATTTCTTGATATTGTTCCCAAAGCCCCAATGACTAGGGGGACCACCAAGGTGTGTTTCATCCACAAGTGAGATGTTTCAATTGCCAGGTCTCTGTAATTTATACTTCTGCGTTCTGGCTACTATGGGTTGCTATTTTTCCCCTCAGTGATATTTGCTGTTCTGTCAACTCATAATTTCTCGGTTGTTCCAAAAGTTGTTCCTTCATTGATATGTTTTCTTCCGCTTTTGCATCTACTTCTACCCTCCATTTGTCTTCCATACTACGGTAATTGTATGGAAAGTACCAGGCACAGTATCAAAATTATAAAAAACATTGGTATTATTTGACATATATAAGTTTTAACCAAAAAAAACCTAGGTATCTGTTAAATATTGGCACAGTATTATGCTGTTTTGTTCCTTCATTGATATGTTTTCTTCCGCTTTTGCATCTACTTCTACCCTCCATTTGTCTTCCATACTACGGTAATTGTATGGAAAGTACCAGGCACAGTATCAAAATTATAAAAAACATTGGTATTATTTGACATATATAAGTTTTAACCAAAAAAAACCTAGGTATCTGTTAAATATTGGCACAGTATTATGCTGTTCCTAATATTGTCAATTTCTGTAGCTATTAGAGCATTATTTCTGAGATCTGCAACTGATTATAATACTGTGTGAAATTTCTTGATATTGTTCCCAAATCCCCAATGACCATAGGGATCACTGAAGTCTGTTTCATCCATGAGCGACATGCCAGATCTCTGTATTTTGTTAGTTTTTCCAGTTCTTTATTTCAACTCTGGCATACCCTGGAATTATTATTATTATCACCATGGAGTACACATGAGACCCAGCTTAAAGCAGGACATACTGTTGATGGTTTAATCCAACTCCCTGTCTAACTACAATATTTGCATTCCCACAGCACTGTTTTGTGGAATGGGGCCCTGAGAGGCTTTTCCTTTTTTAAAAAAGTGCTATAATAATCAACATGTTTATTTAAATGCTTGACTAACCTTGGCTTTTATTGTTTATTTCCTCATTTTGTCATATTTGTATCCCCCACCCCCCAAATAGCATTCAGGGTGACTAACAATAAATTATTGAAGATACTTAAGTTGTAAGCACTTATCAATTTAAAATGTTACCTACAAATATGCATCAAATAAAATACAATGACCAAACCAAACCAGCAAAATCCTCCACACCTGGGAGCAATTGCACAGCAGTGTTAACCCTTCTGTTGGCAACCTTTCATGCATGCAAGGACATGACCAGACAAGAACCCGATTTTACAATCACTGCAACACGGAAAAGAGCCTGCTGTAAAAATAACATGGAACCCTTCTGTTGGCAACCTTTCATGCATGCAAGAACATGACCAGACAAGAATTTTACAATCACTGCAACATGGAAAAGAGCCTGCTGTAAAAATAACATGAAAATGGAGGGGAAATATAACACAATTATCCTTATACAATTGTGTAAGTACACAGAATTGTGACTATTAAAAATAGAAGGTAATCCTGAATGTTGTTTTCATAATTTCTACTTCAAATATTTCCAACATACATTTTCTGAAAAAGATGTCCAACTCCACTTGCTATTTTGCTGCTTTTTTGGTGCTAAAAGAGAAACTTTCTTGTGAGGTTGCAATTAAGCACATGTAGATTAAACGGATGTGAGGATTTGAAAGATGTAGATGAAGCTGTCTTTGACATCTCCTGCATGGGCCGTTCAGGGCAGGGATATCAGTAATCATTCTAGCAATGCCAAGGTTGGATCCATAGAAAAGTGAGAGGCTGAAAGCGTTTACTGAATGAAGCAGCGCTGCCCTCTTGTGGCTCTGTTGAAGTAGCACGTCAAAGAAGTGAACCTGTTCATCAAAAACAAGGAGGCTTGTAACACATGCAAGAAAACAAAAAGGGTGCAGCTACACCACGTTATACCTTGCACTTTGTGTTGGTATCTGCAAGGTTTAAATCAATGTTAATTCCACTGACTAATTGCATGGAAGCCCGCATTTTTCTGGGATCATTTGTTTCTTTTTGAGGAGCTGCCAGGGAGGTGTTTATTTTGTATTGATACTGCTGGCATAGCTTTCCTCCCTTTGCTGGCACGTGTAATCATCAATTTTGGTCCAGAGGGAAAAGCAGGATATTGATGGTGAAGTTGACATCTATTATGATGATGATTTATTTATTTATTTATTGTATTTATACCCCGCCTATCTAGTCATTTCGACCACTCTAGGCGGCTTACAACATAAGGATAACAAGTTCTAAAAAAAATTATAACAATTAATTAATTAAATGATTCTATAAGATGGGAAAAATAAAAATAAATCATATAAAGAGAAAAAAAAGGAATGAGGACAGGAATTAACTGGAAGGGAAGGCCTGCCTACACATCCATGTTTTTAGTTGGTTCTTAAAAGTACCCAGCAAGGGTGCAGCGCGAATCTCCGGAGGAAGGTTATTCCAGACGCAAGGAGCCACCGCCGAGAAGGCCCGGTTTCTAGTTCTTTCCTTCCGGGCCTCCCTTGGCGTCAGGCTCCTCAGCCTCACCTCCTGGCTCGC